TCCGGGTCCCGGTCCCGGTCCCGGTCCCGGTCGCCCTGTGCGGGGTTGCGGGCGGCCGGGCCTCACCCCTATTTACTTTCAGGCGCGGCGGCAGAATGACACGATGGACGCGGGCAGCGGCCCCCTCCTCCCCGACAGCGTCCTCTACGAGATCTTCCTCTACCTGGACCACGTAGACGTGCTCTCGGTGGGGCTGGTGTGCCAGCAGTGGCACGCCGTGGCCCGCGACGAGTTCCTCTGGAAGGAGCTCTTCTACCGCTACTACCGCATCTCCCGGGAGGTGCCCCGGCACCCAGGTGCGCTGGCGCGGGGGGAAGGGGCTGGCGTGGCTGCTGCAGGGCTGGCGGTTTTCCTGCATTGGCCGAGCAGACAGGGTGGTTGCTCTGGGCCCGAGGACCTCGGTTCCTTGGGTGATGACACCCGAAACCTCCCTTCCATGAGCCCAGAAGGGAAAATCCTCTCCTCCTCTGCTGTCCAGCCCTCTGTCCTCTGGTGTCAGGTGTGACGGAGCCACTAAACTGTATCATATTAGCAGGCTACAGGCTTGGATAGTGGTGTGCATGTGAAGGAACGTGCCCAAATCCTTCAGAAAGGGGCATCAGATAGTTGAAAATGCTTTGACTTTCTCTTTCTCTCACGAAGGGATGGTCTCTGCCTCTCTAGGCAGGTGCTCTCTGGTAGCTACTGCACAGCTTGTCTGGGCACTGCTGCTGCTGAGGGAGATCCGGAGGAGACACAGTGAGTCACTGCGTGCTGCTACATCACAGCCCAGTTGGATTCCATGATAATCACTGCTGGCTTTTCTTGATCAGGACCTCACAGCAAGCCTCTGCTTCAGGCTCTGTCCCTTTCTCATCTGAACTAGGAAGACCTGCAAGTACACATTAGCTGATCAAACTGTTTCCATAACACGTAGGTAGCAGCTGCAGCCTGGCTGTGGTGTGTGGAGAGGGAGGTGGGCGTGCGTAGCTGACCCACTTTGTGAGGTCAGGTTGGACTTGATCTTGGCCTCAGTATGCAGTAGGAAAATGACGCATTAACAGTCAGCATCAACTGAGCCTGGCAGGGCCTTCCCTGGGTAGAGCTGTTGGCAGTGTCAGTGGCAGCAGTCGTACAATCACAGGTCTGTTCCCTGCTGAGTACGACGTGCTGGAAGCAGTTTGGATAACCCAACGCTGTTGCACCTGCTGAGACAGGTCTTGGGGACCTGCCGACAGGAGTCCTTGCTGCTAAGGTGGGTCTCTCTTGGAGGCCAAAAAGCCCATTCCGAGCATGCTGCAGAGGTCTGTGAGGGCTGTGCTCCATCCTCTGCCCCAGGGATGTTCATGGGGTTCCCAGCGGTGGCCACGGCAGAGGGAATTGGCTTCTTGCTCTCAAGTTGCAGTTGCCACAGAAGGATGGGAAGAAATGCCAAGGATCAAGCAGTGAGGAGTCATGTCTTCCTGCAGTGGGTGCAGCCACCAGTGCAAAAGGGCCCTCAGAAGAGATGAGATGTGAATGGGACGACTCAGACCATGTGACTTCACTTGTGCAGACCCTGGAGCTCTGCAGGGTTGAGGACGTCATCTTTAGGTTTTATCTGAGGCTGTTTGACCAGGCTTGTTCACTTCCAGCCTTCTGGAGTTAGTTAGTAAGCTGCTAGCCCTGTTCTTTAGCACTAATTGGGACTGAGCTGTCGGTGTAGCTCAGTAATGTATTCAGGCACCTCCCAGGCTGTGCTTCTGGAGCTGTGAAAATCCTCCAGAAGTCAGCGGGGAAAGGGGGTGGCTGGCAGGCCCAGGAAGGGGCTGAAGCAGGAGTTTGGGGAAATCCTCTGCCAACTTGCCTGCCCTGGGCAGCTCTGTTGTTTGGGGAATGGCATCCAGTGGCTCTTGTCAGAGCAAATGTTGGGGTTGCTTGGCCAGATGGCATCTGTCCAGACTGCTTCCCAGCCAGACAGGCTGGGACCAAGAGGTTCAGAGGGGCATGAAGCCCCTTGCCTAGTGAGCAATGGTGGGATGTCCTGGCACCAAGCTGCTCCCTGGAGCAGGGCCCTCCTGGGCTGCAGTGAGTTCCAAAAAAACCTTTGGTCCTGTTCAGTGTAACTAGGGAAATTGGCCCTTATCCATGTACATGTTTAATCCTCTTTGCTTCCTTGGGATTTGCTGCTGCAAGAAGTCTGTCTGTAGGCTGCCTTACCAGGCACTTCATTAAAAGTCCTCTTTATTTGTCTCTTTATTGGCTGTCAGTGTGACTTATCTGTGCGTGCTCCAGGCTCTTCTACTGCAGGGCTCTTCTGTCCCGGCACGCTGTGTCCAGTTCCCATTCTTCTCTCTTGTTTTCTCTAGTCTTTTATCTCATGGAGATGGTTTTTCCTAGTCTCGTACCTTTTTGGAACCTTCTTAATTCTGTGTTAGACAAGATAAAGATAATCAGAGTGGAGCCCGGTACCCTGAGGAGCAGCTTCCCTCTCATCACATGATAGATTTGTTTGCGTTGTGCTGGAGCATGTCTGCAGTTCTAACAGCTGTTTTGTCCTGAGCAAGGCTCAGTTACATAGCTAACAGCTATGCCCTGGATGTTTCTTACAGTGGCTGTACTGGTTTAGAAAGTAGTGATATGGTGTGGAGTTGTGTGTTTACTGGAAGAAGACATTTTCTGTGTGTGGGAGTGGGGAAGCTACTGAGAAAAATATTAAGCCCTGCTAGCATGGCTGAAGCCGTAGGGACCTTGGCCCCAGCAGAGCTCCTGGCATTGCTAGCAGCAGTCAAGACTGCACTTTGTTAAAGACTGATTCTGTGGCTGCCGTGTTTAGCTCAGGTCTGTCTCTTCCCTCCATTTACATTCCTGTCCCATGTCCCTGCTGGTGTGTTACAGCTGCTGTCTCCTGGTATGATGAGTTCCAGAGGCTCTACGACACCATCCCTTGCGTGGAAGTGCAGGCCCTGAAGGAGCACAATGACCAGGTTTTGCACCTCAGCTTCTCCCACTCTGGCTGTTTGTTTGCATCATGCTCCAAAGACTGTACTGTCAAGGTAAAGTGGCAGCCTCCCCTGCACAACCCTTCCAGCTTTGATTTAGTGGGGCTTAACCACAAGAGCAGCCTTTAGGAAATCTGTGGGGAGGAGAGGTTTGACCAGGTGTCCCTGGACTTAGGCTGGTTCCTGCAGATGCTGAGTTGTTCGCAAAGCTACAGAACTAATGACTCTTGCAAATGTAGCCTTGAGGGCTGTGGCTTCCAGCTCCAGCCTGCGTGAAGGTGGCCAAGGTGCCTGCCTGGCTCTGGCTACTTTCTAGGTGCAGATCAGTCCCCTGTTGTGCTGTGGGTCTAACGAAGAGTGCAGAGATAATGATCCACTGCAGAAGTTGTCTTGTGTGGGTGGTTGTCTGAGGCAAAATCTCTCTGAACGTGTTGAAAAAAACAGCTGTGACAGTATCATTTGGTGCCTGAATACCTTCTCCACTGGCTGATGGAGAAGT